CTTTTGGAGGTAATTGTTGTCGTATACCCTTCTCCACTATATCTAAATGGGAATTCTTACTATCTTTAGTCTTGTCTTAAATGTTTAGAGATTTCTGATTCCCGAGGTAAACGGTCTTTTTTCCAAACTCAAGTTGGTGAATACATGTATTATATTCACATATAGGACACATTTTATATCCCTTGACATTGTATCTAGCCAAACTACCATATGCATGAAAGTCATTGATTGTGCAAAATAACATTGCACGCATCTTACACTTTTCACCATAATATGCATCATCAACATCAACGCCTTCTGCCCACAAAAGTAATAAATCTTAAATTAATGAAATTAGATAAACATCTATGTCATTTCCAGGTTGTTTTGGTCCAGAAATCACCATACTTAACATCATATGTTTGCGCTTCATGCACAACCAATGAGATATATTGTAAATCGTGAGAAGAATAGATCACAAAGAATGGTTAGTACTCAGATTATCAAAGGGGTTCATTCCATCCGTGGTAAGCCCAAGTCTATGTTTTCTTGGCTCAAAGCCAAAATTTGGAAACAACGAATCAATTTTCTTCCATTACAAAGAATCAGCTACATGGAGAATGTTTCAATCACATTTTCTTTTATCTCTATACCATCTAATATTATTTAAGTCATTTGAATTAGAAAAAAGTTTCTTAAGCCTTGAAATTATTGGCAATTACCATAACACTTTCGCAGGAGGATGCTTCTTGTTAACATTGTCATTGTCATCACCATTGTTGTCCTTCAACTTGTAGCGCGACTCACGACATTCTGGACATTGATCCAAATTTTCATACTCTTTCTTGTATAATATGCAATCATTAGGGCATACATGCATTTTTTATATACTCCAAACTCATTGGATACAATATCTTTTTGGCCTCGTAACAATGATCAGACAAATTATTATCTTCTGGTAGCATTTGATTCAATAACTCAAGAAATTATGTGAAACTTTTATTCGACCACTCACTTTTTTTCCCTTCAGATTAAACAATTTTAACAACATGGACAATCGTGTAAAATTTGTGCACCTCTTATATAAAGGCGCATCCTTATCACTACATAAATGATCATAAATATGGGCTCTTCATAAAAGGCGATTCTCCAATATCACAAATCCTATCTTCTAGTCGGTCATCTATATCTTCATCAACTTCATTCATTTGTGACGTCACATTTTGATTTTTATCCACTTCTCCATGACACGTCCATGTTGTATAATTTTGACATATTCCATCACAACATGTGTGATGTAGTATTTCTTCCTTTGAGTGTTTTTTGATATTCCCTCAATTAATACAAGGACAATAAAAGAGACCATTATTTTCGAGAAGATCTTATCCGCGAATTCAAGGAATTCAAGAACTCCCATCTCATACACTGGATCTAATATATTACATTGGATCTAATCTATCAGCTTTCATTCAACTACGATCCATAACAAATTCTGAAATTTATATCAAAAGACTAATGTGAATGGCACATTAATACTACACACACAACATATACTATGGTTATATGCATACTAATATATTCATCACAACAATATAACACCAAAATATAACCACGTTTCTTTCTTTGTTTCTAATAGAGTTTTTTTTAAACATATTTGTAATAGAGTTATAACAACAAAACAAAAAAAAAACATAAAATTATAACAAAAATACATAACACGATAACAGGATACGTGACAACATCACATAGCCTTATTACAACAAAAACAAAAATACAAAGTAATCCAATTGCAACAAAACGAAAAATCCACACCGTATAAAGGAAAATTCAGCACAATGTGAGAGAGAGAGAGAGACCAAAAAATAAACAATGAACAATGAACAATGAACAATGAACAATGAACAACGAACATAGAAATGTATCATATTGTACTTTAAAGAGGAGGAAGAGATCAATGAATGATTATCGTTTCAACAAATGAATGAAGATGGTGAAGATTTCGCTATCGTCGTCGTCTGGTTTGCTAGGGCACCCTAGTTGTGAAGGAAATAAAGAATCTATCATGTTAATTTTGTAGGAAAGAATTTGACAACGATTGTTGATACCAATCGTAGTAAAATTTATACATATTACCACAGTTGATAAAAACAGTCATAGATAAAAGTTTTTCAATTTTTATGTAACAATACATATTAAAGGACACGCGCTTTTTTTATTGAAAAATGAAAAAATGTTGATGTTGGGATTTAAAGCATGTAACCCTTAATCTATGACCACTATTATGAACTGTGATAAAAAATATTTTAATATAAAAAATAGGCACATTAAAAATGAGAAATTACTACGGTTGATAAAATGATCGTTGTAATATACTATTATCAATGGTATATTTTATAATAGTGTGTAATAAAATCTCAAATTCTCATTTTATAAACACAATGAATTTCTAGATCAAAGACCATGATCTATTAGAAGGCTAAAATCCACATCCAACGGTCCATATGAATTGGAAAAATAATCGCAGTTGAGTGAATTCAAGAGGGTTTAGGCGTGCCACTTTCCTACTCTACGTGAATGAGGAACATGGAGGCCAACACCGCAACGAAGTTTATCCTGAACAAAGTGAATTTATCGTGTGTGTTCCCACGACCAACTACTCCTACTCTACAACACCATGTAATTCCTTCTCATTGGCGCACATTCTCAATGGACACATTATTTCGATGGTTCAGATTCTTAGGTTGGTCTTATTGATTTTTGCATAAACTATTCTTGATTCAGATCTGATAGCAAGGACTTGGGAGAAAATTCTTCCGCCATGGTTAATTGCCCATGAAAAATGACCTAATCCAATAAGGTTGCACCAATCACTAATGATCATGTGGATCTTCGTGTACAGACTCCGTACACAAGCACGCTCCTTCTTTTATCTAGACGGTTGATATACATCAAAAGATTCTCCGCACTCTACAGCGGACGGACTGAGAAAAATTATAATTGTCTATTTTATATATGCATGATCATGAGTCATACCGTGATATATTTTCACTCATACTTGTAAGATTTTACCTCATTCATATACTGACTTGTTTGTCGGAGTGTTAATCTTTTTACAAAAGCCCCTCAACTCACTGAAAAATCATTACCATCACATCAAAAACTTCATCGAGATAGTCATCTTCAACCGAGCATCCATTTGTATTTCAATAGAAAATTCAAATATTTTTCTTTTATTCCCTTACTAGAACCCTTCTTTTCCTTTTTTAATTGAATAAAGACTTCTTAGTGAGTTCAAACTTCTGGAAGTTATCCTTGCATGTTCAATTACCAAAGTTGTTTAAATATTTTTAATAATCTTGTAATGACTTCAAACATCTGGAAGTTATCCGCTGAATCACCAAAATTCTGTTCAAATATATTTAATAATCTTGTAATGACCGACAATGTTGTTAATTAGGCAGAAATATCAGTTATAGTTAGTTAAAAAAATTGTCTAGTAGAATTTAAGAGGAGGCTACACATTAATTCAATACATGTATGGGCAAAAATTACAAATGTTAGACTTTGTTTCTTAAAATAGAAGCTTGCTTTTGGCCAGTAGGGAGGATAGGAATAAACAATTGGAAGCAGTTCTTTCTATATTAATTAATTCACATCAAAGTCTTGTATTCTATAGACAATTTCATTTTCATTCAGCATTGGTTGTCTGTTGTTACATTATTGATCTACAAATTTTCTTAGAAATGTTTCCCTAATTACTCTTAAACTTTACCTCATTAGTCTATTTTAAACTAGACAAACATATTTGTTGATAACAATGAAGAGTCACTTTTTTAAGTAACCTATTGTGTGACAAATTCTGGTTTAGGTTTCTCTCTTTAGGTGAGAATGTATTATGACAATTCCTCTTTTTGGGCCCTTTTACAGCTGTCTTCCTATTGTTAAAATCCAAATGTTGTTTGTTTTTTTCTTCACATTCCTTAGCCTTTGCACATTAGGTGTCTAGTAATTTCACACTCTCCTCAATTATGCACTTCCCCACCCCACCCTACACCAACCTGTAACAAATGTCTCCTAATACTTGTGAAGAACTGCCACACTAATGCTACATATTGATGTAGTTGATGTGACCTCTCTCAGCACATGATACTTTTTCAGGATCAAACAAGTAATAAAACTATAAATGTATGTATAAGTATATCAATAAATGTACTGTATATACGTATATTATGTTGTATATTGCATATTGTGACCCTCTATCAGAAAATGGACAGACACATATAAATTAAGGGATGGTGTTTGCTATTTCATGATGGTTATATCAGAGTTTAGTGAAGGATAGTACTGTCATTGCACACCCAACAGACACATGAACATGCCTGCAACAGTTGGAAAAAAAAAGTGATAAAGAGGAGTTTCTCATTATTTGTTCAATTGCTAGCTATGCTTTTATCTTCATGAGCAGTGCTAACTAATCATATGAGGATTTTGAACAAGATTCAAGAAATATGAATGATTGCAATTGCAAAAGGAAAGAATCTTGACAACTGTGCACTTTTTTCTAGTGATGAAATCTATCTACATTCATGATTTTGGTAACTGGAAGTATTATTAAGAATGTTTGCTGGTTTCAAGGCTATTCAATCTGAATTTAATGACTGTAGTTCCCTTTGTTCCCATGCACCAACCTCTTGCAAAACGGTGCATCTTGTCTTTTTGTTACTAACTTCTAAGCAAATGAGTAAGTGATTAGCTTGAATCTCAATCTCAATCTGCATATTATTATTATTTTTATTCAACTTGAGAGTCATGTAATTATTTTTGGCATTTGCTTTGACTAGTTAGTTATTCAAACTAAGAATAAAATTTTATGACAAGTTCAGAAAATTGTTGAATCTTTTTTGGCAAAGTCTAATTTTGAGTTGTGCGTTCACATTACTTAAATAAATTATTGAAAGCTTATGTTATGGTTCATTGTTTCAGATCACAGATATTGAAGTTGAGTCTTTTGATATTGTTAAATGGCCAAGAAGAACAAGAGCTGGTTTAATCTGGTGAAGAGCCTTTTCATATGGGACACACATTCCACACAAGAGAAGGTAATTTTACTTTTTTAAAACTAAATTCTTTTTTTTTTGTAAGATTCTGTTTATTCTAATGAGAAAGAAAAAACTTGATTTCAGAAAGAGAAAAGAAGGAAATGGATATTTGGAAAGCTAAAAACCAAGAAGTTACCTTCAATTACAGCTCCAGCAACAACATCAAATGAAGCTGAGGAGGAGGGAAAAACCAAGCATTCTCAAGTTGTTATGCTTAATGAAGTTTCACAATCTGGTTATCAAAAAAATCAAGATGGCTCAGAAGAATCTGAACCTGTTGAAACTAGGAATGGTGTTCCTCGATCGATATATCTGTGCCAGAGAGAGATTCAAGAATTTGCAGCCATCAAAATTCAAACTGCTTTTAGGGGCTACCTTGTGAGTTTCTCCAATCTGTCTTGTTACTTAATCTTTACTGCTAAAGTTTTTGGATCTGGAATAGTCTTTTAAAATCAATACAAGTAATTGAATTATGAATCTTATTAGAAGAAGGTTATATATCAAGGTTGCAAGTAACCATCAAATGTGGCTAATGCGTCCTCCATACCAATACTCAGACATCAAAAACCCCTTAAGGATCTAGTGATTTCTCAAATTCAACTCTAGTTAAACAAATAGAGAAAATTGTAAGAGTAAGATGTAATGGAAATTAATATGTAGAAGAAAGCAAGGAAACTTAGTGATAGTATTGTCATGTTCATTACAGGCAAAGAAGGCTTTGAGGGCATTGAAAGGAATAGTAAAACTTCAAGCGATTATTCGTGGGCGAGCAGTGAGACGCCAAGCTATGAGTACTCTCAAGAGCTTGCAGTCTATTGTAAGTATTCAATCAAAGATATGTGCAAGGAGACTCCAAATGGTTGAAGGAAGATGGGATTCTGTTGAAGATGAAGAGACTCTTTATTCTAAAGACAAGATCATTAGGGTGAGCAAAGCATGGCATGTTACATTATTTCATTACCTCAATTCACATTCCAAACATAAATTTGTATGATTTGAAACATGAGTTTTCAAATTTTTAGATGGACTCAAACAGCGAAAGAAAGTGGGATGACAGCACTTTATTGAAGGAAGAGGTAGATGCCTGTTGCATGATCAAGAAAGAAGGCATTATTAAGAGAGAAAGAATAAAAGAATACACATTTAATCATAGAGTAAGCTCCTAACTCTTTCATGTCATAAACTGTTTCATTACTTTTTCCAACCAGTTTCTCAAGTTGAACTAATTTACACAAATCCCTCAGAGGTCAGCAGAGTCAGAAAGAAGTAAAGTGAACGGAAGATGGAGGTACTGGCTAGAGCAATGGGTAGATACACAGCTTTCTAAAAGCAAAGAACTTGAAGATTTAGACTCAGTTTTCAGCTCAAATTCTAGCAGAAAACAACTAAATCTAAGAAACTCTACTCAGCGACAAAATCCAAATCAACTTGAAGGAATGGATTCGCCACTAGTTTCATCAAGAAAATGTTTTCCTCACGGGCGACAAAGTTCAATAGGAGAAGAGCAATCATTTTCAAGCTCCCCTGCAACTCCTGCATACATGGCTGCAACCGAATCAGCAAGAGCAAAAGCAAGATCAACAAGCTCACCAAAAGCAAGGTCATGGAATTATGACATGAACTCGGATAGCTATTTATCACCTAGCAAGAAAAAGTTATCAATTGTTTCATCTGTTAACAGTGAAGTGGTTAATAATGGTGTTAGAATGGGGAAGCTTAATGGTTGTAACCAACAAAGATCACCAAGTTTTAAGGGTATTTCAGTGCCTTTAAAATCAAACACAAGTATTAAGGATCTTAGCATTAATTCAGATTGCTCATTGTCTAATTGGGATAGACAAAGTTCCTTTAAATGATGCTCATCTGTTTGTAACTATGTATATGTGTTTCAAAATTAAACACTAGTTTATTTCTTCATTCATTTCCTGATTAATTCTATGTTTTAAGAACCCATATTACACTCAATTTTTATAACTATATCTTCTTTTCTTGTGTGAAACACCAAATTTCAAGCCACCGCTTCTTACTCAACCGCTTCGCTGGTTGGATGGAATCAACTACATTCCTTCAATTTGATAGTTGCCTCGTTAAAACAGAAGAGACACTTCCTCAACGACTCAGAGGACCTTGGACGAAAGTTGAAGGAGATGTTTGCACCGATGATAGCCATCTTGGTGTTGGTGGATGTGACACGTTCCTAAGGGTCGCTCCTTCTATCAAACTTCATCAATAAGGGGGTTTAAACTTTTCTGGCACGGAAGCCGCTTGAATTTTGTCGAAAAGAGGTTAGGGTCCAAGACTTTTATTTCTTCAGGTAGGTCAACCTCTTGTTATTGATGCTGAAGCTTAAAAATGTTGTCTTTCATTGCTTGATTATGGCCTCGCAGTTATTCCATATCAGTTTGCATTTCAACTATGGTATGATGATCACTGTCGAAACTACTACAGGTTGACGTGGTGCCCCGCATTTGCACCATCTTGAGGATGGCAATTGAGGTGGTTTCTAAGGTGAATAAATATGGTTTAGGTTAGTTTTATCATAGTCCCACATATGCCGACAATTGTACTTTCTAAAAGTATAATAGTGAGAGAAGGAGAATTTGCTCACTTGTGGTTATGAGAGACTATATATTTCTCCTTAGATTTTTGTGGATGCTTATTCCAATTCTTGAATTAGGATATGTACACATTCCACAACCGTTAATCCCCATACACTTCATAGGTCATTTGTGTCATATGGACGAATAATGGGTTTTGAACTTGGGAGGTCTATCACGGGCGGCTGACTATGCTTCAGACACTTAAATCTAATTTGGGCAATTAGGGCTACTTTGGGCGCTTACCTCGCCTTTTGCACTTATCTCGAACTTGTTATGGGATGTTTTACCATGGACCATCCATTTTTATTCCAAACCACAATTCCTCAATCAAGGGACCTTGGAACAGATGAAGAGATTAATTCTAGTGTCTTGCCCCTTAAAAATTATGTGAATCCATCAAGAGGATCTAGGAATGAGTTCCTCAAGCAATGCTTGGAGCAAGTCTCTTAAGAAAAGTTTAGGGCGAGTCCCTTAAGCTTCACTTGGGGAAGCATGTGCCACATTAAATGTTTCTTATGATGGATGTGTCTTGGGAAACCAAGTCTGCTAAGGACCCTTGGTTTGCTCAAACATGTTAGGATATGAGACATGTAGGGTTTCCCCTTTGAAATAGTTTGTGCACACCTAGAAGGAGGCAATCATGTCCCATGCAACGTAGATTTTCGGCTTTATAAAAGGGGATCGTTAGCCCATTTTCCATACATAATATTTGAAAGTTTTCCATCAACTATAACCATGACGAGATCTAAAAAGATAAGTTTGCAAGGGTGAATGGCAAGACGGGATGTCCATGGTTACCACTGGGGAAGACGATGCCTTCCATTTAAACTTATACTAAATAGGATTTCTTATAGAAGAATGAGATTGCTCATAACTTTTAATGTTCGAGAACTCCACAACAAAATGGTATTGTTGAGCATAAAAATCGTGTTTTAGAAGAATTGGCCCGAACCATAACAAATGAAATGAGCCTACCTAATTACTTTTGGGAAGATGCGATTAACACTGCATGTCATGTCTTAAACAGGGAGGTAATTAAACCCATCCTAGAGAAGACACCATTTGATTTACTTAAAGGTAGAAAACCAAATATTTCTTATTTTTACATTTTCGGTTGCAAATGTTTCATTTTAAATAACAGAAAGGAAAATTTTGGTAAATTATTGTTACGTTCGAACAAGGAATATTCCTAGGGTACTCATCTACGAGTAAAACTTATAGAGTTTACAATCATAGAACTTCTTTAGTAGAAAAATCTATTCATGTTGCATTCGACGAGTCCTCACCCTAAAAGATGGGGAAAAGTGACTGATCACCATTTCTACTTCGTTTTCGTAACTTATTCGGTATACGTTCATCAAATTTGTAACACTTTGGTTTGTCTTCTATTCATTTTGTTTAAGTTATGTTACTTTTTGCAAATGTATATTTGTGTTGCTTTCATTTGAATTTCATGTCTTTTAGATGATTTTGATGGTTTGGTTTGGTAGGTGTTGGTAATTTCAGGTGCAGGTAAAAATATCCAGAGGATTTATGCAAACGCCAAGCAAAACATGAAGTTGCAAGGGCCCTGACACGGTCACTCGTGTCACCTGACACGGGCCATGTCTGGAGAAGAAGGAAAAGAAGTTGAAGACAGAAGGCGAGCCTGTGTTACACGACATGGCCCGTGTCAAGTCAGTTGAAGCATATGTGTGTGAAGGAAGGATTACAGACGCTGACACAGGTTCCCGTGTCAGCTCAGGCGTTGATAATTCTTAATTTTGGAATTCCTAGTGTTTTTCGAACCCTGGAGGTTACTTTTGAATTTTTGCGTCATGTAGGAAGGACTGGACTACTTAAACCTAATTTGAAGAAGGATAAATGGACTTTTTGAACGATTGAAGAATTTGATGATGGAAGACTGGAAATCTAGAGGAGCCTTGGGAACGGAGAACTATTCATGCACGATAGCAATTGAAGATTGAAGATTCCAAACTTATTGTAATGTCTATATCTAATATTTGTGCTATTTTAATTTTTAGTTCTATGAGAGGCTAAACCCCCCAATGCTAGGAGGTGTCCCTGATTTGCTATGCTAATAATGTTGATCTCTTCGTTTCATTCAACATAACAATTTTTATGAATCAATTTGATTGTTTAGAAGAATTTATAGCTTTACCCTATGTGACCATATGGTTTCACTGTTTTAACACATTAGAATCAGATGGTCGTGTTAAGGTTTTCTAAATAATGATATTATAGATGATTTCACCTAGGACTAGGGAAATCCTACAATAACCAGAATAATTCTTGATATTTGAATGCTTAACCTCAAAACTAATTTGAATGGACATTAAAATTAGGGTAGGAGGTTAAAGGTTTTTCACTAAGGACTTAGGAAAAGATAATCTTAATAATCAGTAATTGAGGTTGATGAACTTGTTGAAAAGATCAAAGAGTGAAGGTTATGTCATGGCAAATCATACACCCACCCCTAACATCTTTTAATTAAACAGAAAAAGTCACATTTTACATTTAGTCATTTAATCTTTTGCATGGATTTGTTCCAATTAAACCCAAAACTATTGTTTTTGTTTGATTGAATTAATAATAAAACTCGGTATTTCCTAAGTTGTCCTCGAGATCAATACTTTTGGAAAATCCCATTATTACTACATCGGTGAAAATAGTACGCTTGCTATTTTTCCTGATCAAGTTTTTGGCGCCGTTGACGGGGACTGCCAAAATATAGAGTTTCATTATTATTCAATTAAAATTTTATTGCTCTGTAATTAAAATTTTATTTTTCTGTTATATAATTTTTATTATTTTATATTACATTACTAATTTATGTCCAATCTTTTATGCGAGGTAAGACCTCAGCTGAATTTCCTTTTGACGCAAAGATTGAAAGAACTTTTCATTCAAGACAAAGAGAAGCAAGATTAGCTAGACTGAGATCCGAACACTGTTCAGATAATTCTAATTCTGATTCAAAACATCATTCTGAGCATAAAGAGACAGATTCAGAGCCAGAAATCATGGGTGAAAATCCGCCACGACCTGAGAGACACCTTGGTGATTATGGAGGGACAAATCCACCGACTGGTAGATTGACAATTGTGAATAACTGTTTACCTGGGGATTTGGTAAACAACCGCTGATCCTCCAAATGGTTACTTATTTGGTTACTCGCAGGATCGATCAGATTGATCCTATGGACATAGGTTGATTTTGAAGTTTAATTAATGTGGATAAGGCTTTAAGTAAATTGGTTAAAGTAAATTGCATAAAGGAAAAGGCTTGGTAAAATAAACGAGGCTGGAATGTAAAGGTTCGACAGGAATCTTAAAGGGAAAAGCATGTAAAATACTGGAAAAGTAAATGACTTGAATTGATTAAATTGGTGTTTCACACATACATTTCTCAACAATTCGTTCGCTCACACTGGGTACTTGAATCTAAATGAGTGACTATGTATCTATTGTGAACACACGCGAGAAACTACACGTCTACTCCTATTTATACAAAAACATTCCAAGTAACCGTCGGGCAGTTACACTGCTTCGAGATCAAGCCACTTGTCACGTTCTCCATGCTCGACACTCCAGATCCTTGCACATTCGCACGTAGTAACTGCTGGAAACCGTTTTCCCTCCAAAGCTTTGAATTTCAAACTGCTCCACTCTGGACCATCGAACACGTTCGTCAAGAGACGTCTTCGACGAAAACTCCTTCGACGTCGAAGGCAATCAACCTTCTTCCTTGGAAGAAATCTTCTAAGGATTCGGCCATCTTTCGACGGGCACTTCGACAGGCTTAGCCAGTCGAAAGCATCTTTCAGCTTTTAATGGCTGTCATCAATTGAAACAAAGGTGTCGAATTTAGGAGCCAACAAATTGCCCCCCAAGAATGCCTTATTTCGACTCTTGAAAAGAAAAAAGGCATTCTTTGAAAACGCCATTCGACACCTGCTTGTCCACGCTGAGTCACAAGTTAACTTGTGCACTTTTTGTTGCTTTTTACCAACTATTGGCAATCCCAAGAAACCATCATTGATTTGATCCTAGGACGTCACTGTCAGTACGGCGTGCAGAACCAAAACATCACTTCATAATTTGTCATTATGACAAATTCAAAAAACGAGGACGCACGCTGCGTCTCTCTGTTTCTGCAGAAACGGCCAAAACAACAGGATGCTGCCACGCGTCCCACTACTCCCTGCAGCATTAAATGACATTTAATGCCCTCGTTATTGGGAATTTCTCCCACTA